ATATATCTGCAGCTCTGTATATCTACCAGTCTGAATATCTCCAGCTCTGAATATCTCCATCATTATATATCTACATGGCTATATATCTCTAACTCTGCAACCTGGTAGTACTTGGTACAGCTGGCTATGGTATGCTTCAGTACAGGGGCTGCCTGCCAGCTAGCTCCATACCTGGAGCACCCCCATGCCCCAGCCAGCCCCTCCACAGCACACTGACCAGGGAGAGAGCAGCTTTGGGCTGGCATGCTGACCCCCACGGCCTCCTGCCATCTGGAGCTGCTCCGACCCAGCTCAGCATGCCATAGTCCCGGCGCACATTCAAACAGCGCACCCAGGAGCAATAAGCTCTGGACTTTATTGCTTTGCATTAATTGCACATGTAGACACACTGACCTGCACTGCTCTTTGCCATGCCACAGGCAAAGCCTACCAAACTATGTTAATCTAATGGTTGTGTGACACAAACACAACTTAAGTAAAATGGAATCAGCATTTTAAAATACAATCTTCAACTTCTTGAAGCATACTTTCTCTTTTAAAAAAATTAACAAGAACTACTCTGCAGCAGCATGGTATTTCCAGGAGACAATTACAATTGTATGCCTTGAAGTTCAAAAGTCTCCTAAGTGCAGAGAAACAAAAATTTTAAATTTTCTTTATGTAGAATGCAAACCCTATATATTCTCTATGGTTTAAAAATAAACTGAAATTCAGTGAGGGAAAGTAAGATAGGCATCCTACATTGCTATGATGTTGGACTAAGAATCTAAACATAAGCCAGGAAATTAAAACTCTGTCAATTATGGTAGCAAACCACATGATAGCATTTTGTAAACTGAAAAGAAGGTACAATCCCAGTTTTTATGATTTGATACAAAGGTGAAAAAGCAGAATGTAGGGAGACATACAGGATGCAGTCATTGGAAAGTTATATATTTTAAATAGAAAATACTTCCCAAATTATTTGCTGTTATCTACCAAGTCTTCCATAGATATCACGTCAGAAGTAGGTCAGCAGAAATGTCTGACTATAGAGAGTTAAGAATCTTTCAAGTGAGATCAGAATAAAAATAAAGTCAGTGACCTTATTTGGATCACAATGCACATGAAGATTTCTGTTCTAAGGAAAAGCAAGCAGATCCTGATGCCTGACTTTAATGCTTACTTGTTTCTGTGACTAGAGAATCACACTCTCTGCCTAAATTTTCTCAAACACCAATTCATCCCAAAACAATGTTGTGGTTATTAGGTAAGTCTGAGTTTGCAATACAGTGCAACTAGGTAAAAAAGTATTATACACATAATATTTGTGGTTACTGTCAAGATTGTTAAATGTATTATTTAACAAATATAAGCAATTTAAAAGTATGTTAAAATAGTTTTCTTATCTAAAGCAGCTGCCTTTAACAATTCAGTATTATAGCCATGCTGTGTCCAATTTAACATAATCAGACAGGAGTCTGGCAGATTACAGTGAAGTGCCTCAGCTTCTATAATTCTGAGCTCCCCAATATCAAATCACATTTCTCACTGTGACTATGCCTTCAGAATATCTGATGTTTTCACAACTGGGTTATATTGTTTGTCCAAGAGCATTTTCAGTTAAACATAGGAAGTACTGACCATCAAACACAAGACAATTTATCTTTCACAATTTTTTTCTTAAAAGTACAGGCTAGAACATACTCAGTATACCACCCATTAAACAAGCATCTAAGGATAAGCTACAGTATCTTTATATATTTTGCATACAAATACGTGTTTAATGGGTGGTATATTGAGTATGTCCCATTTTGTACCTTTAAGACCAATCTGTATGAATGTATCCACTATCGGTTTCTAATGGTATTCATCAGCCAGCACTTTCTGCTTGGCTCTGAAGATGGAAAGCAAACTGAGGAACATCAGCCTATGATTGATCTTTTATAGTAGTCATCCAAGTCAGACACTTTTTCATCTTTTTCTCTGTTCCCAGCTACCCAAATTGTTAAGATCTTAAGTCCTAAAATTTCTGGACATCATTTTCCTTGATACGGTGTAGAAAGGATTTTGAGTATTTTTTTCTGATCTACTAATTAAAAGAAGAAAAAAAACTTGCATGTCAGATGCATGAAACTTTAACTGTGCTCCTCTATATACTCCACTAGGCCCAAATGGCTACAGGATCTCTACCTAAATTGGCTCAAGCCTATCACAGAAGAATGAGGAGAGAGATGTATTTTCCAATGGACACAGGTCTGCCTCACTGTGACTAAATCATCCTTCAACTTTTCATGAGATTCAGTAACACAACTGAAAAGAGGATTGCTCACTTCGGATCAGTGATTCTGAACCAGATTGACTTGAGATCCTTTCAAGGGTGCTGCAGGGTACACTGTTAGGTAGGAAAACATGACTCACATGATAAACTTAAGAGATTTCAAATAGGAATCCATAGCACTAAAAATATTCTGCCCTTTAGCAGTCTTTCTGGGTTCTTTCAATAAAAGAATTGCTCTATTATTTTTCTGAAGTCAAAAAGCAAATGAAAACAAAGAGCTGTGGCATTTTCGAAAGGATGCCTGGAATCCATTTGGGATACCTCAAGTATAAATAATAAGGTTTAGAACCACTGCTCTAGATAAACCAGCCTTTTTATTTTTGACTGAAATAACTCAGCTTCAAAATTGTAACACTTGCATGAGCACTGCTCCTACAAGGAGCAAGTCAACCACTGTCAGTATATCTGCTATTAAAATTGCCCACGCTTCCACAGCTTTCCCTTTCTTGTACAAGACCTGGGGCAATAACTTCAGACTGACACCAAAGCCAGCTCAAAACACGCAGCTTTATTTCTTGCTATAAAATGTGTAAACTTATAGTGAAAGTCTACCTATGATACATGCAGAAGAACCTAGCAAAGTATTATACTGAACTTGGCACCTACTACTGATCCTTTGGATGAGTGAGATATTTTGATTTCATAAATTAATTTTTCCAGGACTTCTGCAAAACAAAGATATTGTCAACACAGGTAGAGCATGCTGTGTAATTTAGTTGTTAAATGCAAGGAACTGAATCAGTGGCACATCTTATTTACATCACAAACAAATGTCACTCTCAAAGACTGAATGGTAATGAACTATTTTCTTTCCTCAGTGTATTTATTTTGCTTTCTTTTACATGCAATTATGGCAACTTGTTTTCCTCAAGCAGGTGCAAGTAACTCCTGAGATTTTGTACGTATCCCTCCAAATGTGCGAAGTGCAGCTGTGTTGTCCCAGTTCCTCTGTGTAAAGATTCAACTTTTAAGGAACTACTTAAAAAATGTAAAATGCAAAAAAGTTTTTAATCTAAAAAATGAATGGATGCTCCTTATTAAAAGAGTTGGATTCTTAAGTCGAACTTTGCTCCCTCCACTATCTATAGTGCCTATTGCTGAGAAAAAGATCAATTCGATTTTTCGTTGGTTCAGCAAATGTCAGGATACCCATTCTCTCCTCTGTACAAGATACTACAGTGATATTCAGTGAAATAGCCCAATTAACATGACAAATACTATGCAACACTTGATGGCTTTGTGCAGTGAGGGCCAACTTTATTAGCAGGCATACCACAAATTAGCCCCATGCCCTCCTGTGCCACTCTGATTCCCTTCCTTTACTAAATTTACTGCTGCGCTTCCTCTTCTCTGTGCTGTGCTCCCTACTGGATCCGCTGCTCTGCTTTCTGCTCCCTGCCCCATGTTTCCTGCCTGATCAGCCACTCCGCTTTCTGCTCCCTAACTCTATGCTGCCTCTCCGCTCCAATCTGCTACATGCCACCCCCTGCTATTATTCCTGCCATTCGTGGCTCCCGAGCCACAGATTGATCACACCTAGCACTAGCATGAAGTGGGGAAGGAGAAAGGCAAACATATCTAATTTAGACTGGCAAGAGAACGATGTCAGAGCCAGGCTTGATGCTCCTGGTGATGCAGCTCACCCGAGATGCAGCAGACTGTGCTGGTGGGGGAAGCTGCAGTTGCATGACACCTGACTGCACACCTGCACAGGGCACGGCTTTGGCATGAGCCCAGGGTGGATGATGGGTGCAGTGCTCGCTGGGCTGAAGGTCCTCCCTGCCCCTCTTGGCTTCCACCTGCTCAGTGGGTGCCAGAGCCCCACTGTGCACAAAGGAAGGGGCCAGCTGGACACCTCCAGCTGAGGCAGGCGGAGGGGTACCGTGTGGCTCACCTGCCCTCATGGGGGGGGGACCTGGAGGAAGACTGAGCAAGGTGAGACCTCCTCATAGCCTCCTCCCAGGGCAGCCCAAGTTCCACAGCGACATCGTCAATGGGGGCAGAGCCAACAAGCCACCTACCAAGTTGCACCTCATTTGCACTGTGCATATTCATGTATATGTAAATGTACTAGGTGAGGGCAGAAGGGAGCCTCCAGCTCCCAGGGATGAGGTCAGCAATGGTGGGGGGACGGGGCAACCAGCGACGTGCCAGGTGACACTTCATTTGCATACACGCAAATTAATGTATATGCAAATATATGTAAATGTACACGGGCGAAGGTATATTTGGGGGAGGGGCGAAGCAAACGCTGCCCCTTCTTGCTCTGGGGCGGGAGATGCCCCGTCCCGGCATTCGGTACCAGAGGCGGGGCCGTTTAACCGCCATGGGGAGCCACCCCGCCCCGCCCGTGACGCAGCACGTACATCACAACGGGAAAGGCGGGCCGTCGCAGCCGCCCCGCCCTTACCTTCCCAGGTGACGTCACCGCCTTGCCGCTGCAGGAACTTATACCAGAAGAGGGCGGCGGCCTCGTGGTCTGGCAGCGCCGCCCCCGCCAGCCACAGCGCCGGCTCCTGGGCGGGCCGCGGCGCTGTGGGGCGCGCCAGCTTCATGGGCACCGCGCGCTGGGGGTCCCACTGGCCCAGCTCCGGCCGCGAGCCGGCCACCAGCAGCGCCACGCCACCCTCAGTCATCCGCGCCGGCACCACCACCCCGAAGCGGAACAGCATGGCCGGGCCGGGTCTGGGACTGGGACTGTGGGGTGCAAACTCAGTCCCCTCGTGGTCGCTGGAGGGATCGCAAGCTCTAGCATCTTCCGGGTTGTGACGTCATGACGCAGGCGTCCCCAAAGAACGGAGACTCGATCAACACTACCCGGCCGACACGTGACTGACTGGCTGAGCAGGCGGCTGTATGTTGTGCGCATGCGCGGGGCTTGGATTTCACCACCCCGGCGTCAGCTTACGCCCACCCGCCGTTGCGAGCGGTCGCGGCAGCATGTTGTCCGCAAGCGCAGGGCATAGGCGCTTGTTGGTGTGCAGTAAGCGGGCGGCCGCCGGGCTGGTCGTGCGTCCTTGGTAGCACCCTCGTCCTCGCCTGGCACGTCGTTGATGTTAGGTATTTTATAAGGGAGGCTGCCTTTTTGTCCCTTTGGACACGGTGCTGTGGTGTATCCTGGCCCCTGTTCTGTAATGACTGACTTGGTGCACCCCAGCCTTATGGGCTGTGCGTGGCTCCTACCACACCTATACCATGCCCCAAGCCTCGCAGATGTACCAGATGTATGGTCACTCCCTTGCTGTGCCCTTACAGGCACCCCCTGGTTCATCGTGCAATTGCCTGTGCCCTCACGGGTTCCCTGGGCCTGTGTCAATTGCCTGCACCCTCCTGTGGACGCTCCCTGGCCTCTCTCATGGCTGTGCCCGCACTGGGGCCTCTCACAGTTGGGGCTCAGGTGACCATAGCCGTGCCTGGCCCCTGAATCCCCTCCTTGAGTCTTAAGCAAGCGCCTTCTGGGGCTTCTCACCTGCGCCCACTCTGGGGCCTCTCACAATTGGGGCTCAGGTGGCCGTAGCTGTGCCTGGCCTCCAAATCCCCTCCTTGGGTCTACAAGTTCCTGTGGGGCTCAGGCAACCTCAGCCTTACCTGGCTCCCAATCCTCTGCGCCCTCTCTCAGGGCTGGGGTCAGTGCACCCCTGAACATTGTGCCTTCTCTGGCACCAGGGTCCCCACACTACCATGGAGCCCCTATGAGGCCTCCTCCAACCCCTAATAGCCTCACCCAGTCCTCCGGTCTTACAAAACACTAACCAGAAAACTCAAGCTCCTGGGCTACAACACAAACTCTAAGCCATCTGGCTAACCATCATTCAAAAATCCCTACCAAGGCTTCCTCCACCCAGTATCCTCAAGCAGAAGCTGCTCAGGCCATCAGGTTCTCTACTCTGCTTACTTCAGCAGAGTTCCCTCTTCCTCAGCTGCTAGCACAGAACTGACTCCTTAGCCTCAGCCTACATCATTTATATAGGTCAGGCCCTGCCCCCTTCCGGTCAGCTGACCAACTGCGGTTGCCCCGGCAACCAGCACCTGTACCTCTTTGTAGAAGCAGGCCACTGAAGTGCCCTGCGATACACCTTCCCCCTTAAGTTCAAAACTCTCTAGGAGCAGGGTACCGAAGTGCCCTCCGACACTCACACCTACAGGGAGCATTATAAAGTAAATAAGCCTAATTTGCATGTTTTTTCAGTGTGATAATGTCAAGCTTCCAATATGGTAATATTTAAGACCTGCAAAGCTGTTCCCCGGGCAGACACTGCTCTAGCTGCTCTGGGATCTGGGCATGGGGCCCAAGCTGGCACTAGCTCAGGTGTGCTGGGGGGACAGGGTCCACAGGCAGGGTACAGCCACGGGTGCATCGTGCCCTGTGTGGGTCTGATTCGACCTAGGGACCAGGTGTCTGACACCCTCCCCCTCTTCAGCCCCCTCTCTAGCATCCATCACTTGGGCTAGACATGCCACAGGAAACCCTCCAGCCTTTCTGTTCGATAGCCACGAATAGATCTGTCACCCACAGTCAGTCAGTGTGTACCTAATTGCCCAGCCATGCACCCACAAATGCATCTAGCCCCTTTTTGAACCTGTCTCTGCTACCAGGCTCCACCACCTCCTGTGGCAACAAGTCCCAAACGTTAACTGCAGGTTGCAGAAAAATGGATCGTTCCCTTTTTAGTTGTAAACCTGTAACCTGTTCATTTTGGCAGGTGCTGCATAGCTGGTGGTTATGTAGCCACAGTAGGCTATGAAGTAACTTTGGCAAGATTGTTGGGCTGCTCCCTGCTCTGACTCCTGGTGCTTCACATAAAGCCCCATGAATCAGGTTGACACCAACCCCCCAGGCATTCCCTGTTTGGTCCAGTGGGGGTGGGAGAATAGAGCTGCACTTTGGAGCTGATTTAGGGGAGGAGCTGCCTGCCTGCAGCTTCTCTCCCCTAGCCTCAAGCCTCCTCCCAGCTCTGGTGCTCTCTGTAGGTTGAGAGGGGGAGAAAGGAAGGGAGAGGACTCCGGTCTGGGATTTGCCCAGCTTAAGCTGGAGGGGAATGGGGGAGGGACTATGAGGCAGGGGTGGCTCCAATCCATGCCCTCACTTCTGGTTCAAGTTGGGCAAACCCCAGCCCAGAGCTCCCTCCTCTCCCTTCTCTCCCATCCCATCCTGCAAACAGCAACAGAGTCTGGGGGTGGGCTCATGCAACCCAGCCCCAATTGCATGCAGGAACTGAAGTGAATGAAGGCGAGCACATTGGAGCTCCTTCATCTGAACCCTCATTAGATGAGGGCTAATTTGTCACATCGTCGGGCACTTTTAAGGAGCTCTGCAGCCGTGCACTTCTGTCAGGGCATGGCTGTAGAGTGCTTTCAGGGGGGCCAATTGTACAACAAATGTCACTTCTGTCAGCGCCCTGCAGTGACTCTTGAGTAATGCTGTAAACACATGGTTCAGAAGCGGATACATGTGCCACTAGAACTCCCAAAGAACAAAACTCTTCGTAGCTGAGCTCAGAACACCATTGGTTTCTGCTGCTTCTTACACTCTTGTCCCTGTTGCACACAGATAAACAATCTCCTTAATCTGAAGACATATACTTTTTTCAGGGGCTTTGATAATAACAACAGCAATAATTATTATAATAATAAATCCAAAGCTCCCTCCAGCCTCCTAGACTCAGCATAACCTTGGCAGCACAACCTTCTAGACTCAGCATAACTGTGTGTGTGTACTTGTGAAGAATGTGGAACTGAGAAGGGCTCTGTGCTCACAATATTCTTAGGGCAAGCCCTGACTTGAATATCGGAAGATCCCCTGGAAAGGAAGGGAGGACCAGCTGCTGGATGTTTGGACCAGTCTTAGGCAGCCTTCTGCTGGCATTGGATGGAGCCTTACAGTAAACCAAAAAAACTTCTGCTTCCAAGACATGGCTGCTTAGACCATCTAGGCACTCTGAGGTGCTTTGAGAGCCTTTCAGGGGGACTGCAGTGCATTGGCACGGCTGGTGTAGAAACGCGATTCACAAGATAAACCGAGAGTTAATAGGAATCCATAACAGGTCAAAAACATTCTGACCTGTCATGGTCTTTCTGAGTTCCTTGTAACTTGCTCTATTCTTTTTCTGTAGTCACAAAAAGGAAATAAAACAAAGAGTTGGCATTGTTTGAGGGATGCCTCAGGTCTAATGAGGAGAACGTTTAGAATCACTGATCTAGATGGATCAAAATTCCAGCCAGAGGCATGCTGCTCCTCTGACAAGAGACATTTTACCAGTGGTTCGGATCATTCTTACATGAAGTTCCTTTCTAACCATTCTGTTGATGAGGAGGAAGATTGCTTTATACCCTTTCCAACACAATTGACTTTATAAGCTTGGCACATTAGCAGGTACCTACAGATAGCATGAACGACTGGTGCCTCCCAAGACTGTGGGGACACCATTTGTAGGCAGCAGCATTAGCGGTGAGTGGAAACCACCTGCACAATACCAGCAGTAGGGGGGTGGTGAGCAGGGGACTGCCTGAAAATGCCAGTGTCAGGCGGGAGGGGGGAGGGGGTGAGCAACAACCACCCACGGAAGCTGGTGGCAGTGTTGGCCAATCTTGGGGGGAAGTGCCCCCCCCTGTGCCTCCCCTCTGAGTTACCTATGACAAATAGTGTCAAAAACACCATGTTTTTGTCTTAGTCTCAATGGCCTTCAGCTAACAGTAGCTTCAGTTCATCCTAAAGGTAGAATAATGGGTTCTGCAGAAAAGTTAATAAAGTTCTAATGCTCAAGAACAGTAGTTCCCAACCTTGGGGTCGTGACCCCATCTGGGATCTCAAAGACACTCGACAGTGTTGACTGATTATGATGAAAATCATAGAAAAAAAGCAGAAAATAATGGGTTCCCCTTGCAGGCTGGCAGAGTTCCAGCCTGCAAGGGGCTGCTTGGGGCTGGGTGGAGCAGGAGGAGAGCGATCAGGCAGGATACATCATGTGCATGAGTGCGTGCATGGTTGCACATGGTGGCATGGGGTCATGCTGAGAAAGAGGTTGGGAAGCACTGTTCAAGAAAGTGAAATCAGAAATCTTACATCCACAGTTTGAGCAACTAAAAATCCCTCCTCCCCTACTCTTCCAGGTTTCTGATTTTATGTAAGGTCCCACTGAAACAAAACAGCAGCGCATTCAATACTTTTGAAGACTAAGAAGGAAATAATATCATGCGTGTATACCAGCCTCTGGCTTCTTTACTATCCATTCCATCCAGAAAAAGTACACACCAACTGCAGATGCTTCCTCAGCCTGATGAAGGGCATTTATACCCAAAAGCTTGCAAAGAAGAATTTTTCCAACTATCTGAGTTCATTTAATAAAAGATACCAGATTTACCCAAAGAACCTTGTCTGCCGAGAATCTCCATATCTAATTGTTGAAGATACTGAGCTCGTGCAGCTCTTGTCCCTGTGGATGATCAATACCTCAGGGAACTTAGACCCTCATTTTTCATTCTAATATGCTCTAATGTACCATGTTTACAATTTCCCCATGGTATACAAATTTGTCTAATTTCTTCTATTGCTTCTTCCTGCGCAAAATGTAATAGCACACAGAATTGCTCTTGAATTTTTTCATAAAAGCTCAAAAGCTTTGAATAATTTATGCTTCATTAAGTCCAGTCTTTTTATATTACAAATAATCTAGGGATTCTGCTTCCTGCTGCTGATAAGCACAAGATATATTGCCATGAACATATCCAGCAGAAGCAAGGCCTTCTGAGCAACATTTTAGCACTATTGTGGATATTTGATTCAGCAAAGCTCTCCATGAATAGATGCCTGTACATAAAACAAGGAAAGCAAGATTTTCATACAAGTCAACATAATGGTTGCAAACTGAGGTTTCTGGGTTGCAATTCAGTCATTTTGTTTTTATGAGAGAGA